ACTCCTTCAAATCTATACGCACCCCTTTTGTCTATTATTTTTTTCTTTTAATTCTCGTCTTTTTCTTGGTACTGTGTTGTGTCTGGATTTCTTGGTCTAGTTTTAAATTTAATTCTTGGTATTGTATTGTGTTTCTAAATCTAACATATTGTCTAGTTTGGGCTACAACTGTGTTATGTCTCTTACAAATCTTTCATTCGAATGAGTTTTGCTTAGCGACTCATGGTTTTTGTCTAACTGGTTGTAGAAATAAAACGTATGGGGCAAGTTCTTGCTGTTGTTGATGGCATATTGAATCTGTTTGAAAGGTAATTTAATGACTACATTAGGCACTATTTTCAGTCCCTAAGAGCATCTCCAGCCCTGGCAGGAGGCCCCTTTTGAAGGGTTTGGACCTCCAACGCGCACCAACAGCCCTAGCAAGGCCTGGGTCCCACCAGCCTGAGCAAGCCCAAGGGCACATCTTGCCTGGGCTTCAGCCCGAGGGTGTTGACGTCAGCGGTGATGTCACGCTAACGTCAGCAAGCAAAAAAAAAAATCAATTTCTTTTATAAAAAAAATACCAAAAAATTATGGATGTTTTCCCTATAAATACATAACAATTTTATTTAAAAACTATATACAAATTCATCTCTTCATATCTCATATGAATAGTATTTGTCTTAGACTTGCCCTAGACTTAGCTCTCATGGGTGGAACCACAAATGCAAAGGCTGACACTATTCAAGTGAATAGTGGCAGCCCTTGCTTGCCCTTGCCCTTGTCCTTGCCCTTATGGGTGGAAATGCTCTAAAGAATGTAAAAGGGATTGATTGCCCTCAGTCTCTTTTAGTCTTTTTTTTTATAGTAGTGTTTGTTACATTTCTCCTTAAGTTAATGTTTTTTGCTTGCACTGTTTGGACATAAAAACTTGTGTAAAATGGGGATTTGCTCTGTTTTGCTTTCACCAGTCAATCACATGTTGACACATGAAAAAGTTATCACAAGTGGCATGTTGTAATTGACGGGTATAGCAATCACACAAGTGTTTCTCCTGTTTGGAGGTTAGGGGGTCATCTTGGCCAAGTTGAGGATATAGTATCTTAATCGAATTCATTTTTCATATTAATATGAGAGAAATTGAAATACTTGTGTTTTTCCTCTAACTCAGAGGATTTGCAGCTGCCTTTAACAAAAATGATGTCAAAATTATGTGACGCTGTGTAACATTTAACTACATAAGACCTTTAATTTTGCTTAATTTTGCTTTCAATCGTTTTGAGACTTAGAATTGAGAGTCCACAACTAGATCTAACAATTGAAAATATGGAACTCCCCCCATTTAGATTAATTCCAAATGTATGGTGGCTCAAAAAGGGAGGTCCAGGAGAGAAAGAAATTAAAGAAAAGGCGAAAAGAAAACTAAAATGCAATTTACCAAGTTGGCTTGTAAATGCCAACAAGATAAGATATATGCTTCAATGGTTGACATGTCCAGTCCAAGCTCTCTATGTAGGCCTCGTTTGGTTCATAGGAAAGGAGATTGGGGGATGAGAAATCAATTGTTTTATCATGTTTGGTAAGTTCAGGTGTGAGAAATCGTTGCTTGGCCAATAGGAAAGTAAGGGGGAAAGTGAAGCCATTCTCCGAACTTGGATTTTGTTTTCCCTCCTCATGGAAAAATTTGGAAAAATGAGCTAATATTAAATAAACATTTTTCATGACCATTTTGTCCCTTTTAATAATTTAGAATTACAATATATCATTAAATACATTCTTTTTTTAATTGATTTAATATGGCTATGATTGAAAATTTATACAAACTTTGTTTTCCATTCCTACTCAAAACAAATATGGAAAAGGAAATAAAATGATATCTCCCGATTACTTTCCCAGTATTACTAAACGTGGAAAAGAAATCTTTCATTTCTTATCCTTTGATAAATGATATAGAAAATAATTTCCTCTAAAATTCATTCCGTGAACCAAACAGAGCCTCACTTTATTTTTTTTATTATTCCATGTGCACGAGAACAAAGATGAAAAGAAACGAACAAAAATTCAGAGGAGTATATAAATTCATGGTGTTTTGGGTTCTTTCTTTATAAAGGAAGCTTGGTATTTTTCTTTTTTATAGTTAGTGTTTAGCTTTTAAGCGTTGAAATCCCGAAGAACTTCAATGATTCATCTCACATGAGTGTGACACATACACAAGTCAAAAAGAGCTTCTCATATCATACTACCAATAACAACACGACACATGTCCCTCGGATGCAACCCCAAAAAGCTGATGGATTTTTTTTTTTTGGGGTCGAAAAAGCTGATCGATTTGATATGTGCTTTTCATGGTTTTGTTTTGGCTCAAAGATGTAGACTAGTTGATTTGTCATGGGTCGACATGTGGCTTTGGTTGACACTAATTGTCGGAATTGGAATAATATACACACAGTGAGGAAGAAAATGCGTGGAAGAAATTCATTTCATGTTTGAAATTGATCAACTTGACAAACGAAGAAAGCTAAATATATTTCCTTAAGAGATTTTGTTCCTCCCAAGTGGATCTCCAACCCTTGAAAGTAAGGTCAAAACCCTAGACCATGAAAAAGGAAGGAAAAAAAAAATGGTGTATGCAAATGCAAGCATAAAATATGTAGGGCACAAAATGACATGAAATCAATTTCCCATGACCCTTTGGAAATAGCCAAGAGGCAAAGAGGGTAGTCTGAGCAATGGCAGAGTGACATGTGAGCCTTGCTTTTTCTATTTTGGAGATAATGGATGAAAGAACTGATGGGGCATTTTTAGAAGGCAGAGAAAAAAGATAAAAAAAAAAGCTATCTATCTGCATTATCAACAACATATCTAGACCCATCCTTGAATATGGGCGGCCTACGTTGGGCCATGAAATTTAGAACCCACCCGAGAATATATTCCACGACAATATCTTTGATGATGGGATCATGCAGAATGGATATATGTAAGAGAATACTAATTAATATTTTTGCACTTTCACGTAGTGATGAGATGAATCTACTGCACGTCGCTCATTGGCTATAAATACAGGCTCTGAAGCATTGCATTGGACAAGCCAAACCCAGTGGGGTGATATATATATCTTTATATATCTTTATGTATCTTACATTATATATGATAACGATGAGGGAAGAAAGGTCCTACATGAGGATAAAGAGCCTTGTTTTGTAGCCAAGGATGACTTGCCTGCAGCCTCCCAAGGGCACTCTCTCTCTCAAAATATAATGTGGTGCTATAGCTAAGCTTGGTTCAGAATCCTTGTGTGGTCTACAGGCAGTCTCCTTGGCTACCGAGACAGGTTCTTTTATCTCATGCTGGACCTCTTCTTCCATGGGGACAACAGATTTCCACCAGGATGTATGAGCTTCTTGAGGAACTCATAGATGAGGTACGTGTTTCATTTCATTTCTTATTGTTTTTGCTGACAATGCGAATCTGAAACCAAATTTATTTACTGTGACGAAAGTAGCTGTTTGGTGGGCGGTTGATTTATTGAAGACTAATGTAGCGGGAACTGATGATTCTGATCACTGTTCTGTTATTTGTGTTATTCAGTCAAGTTCGAACTGGTCATACTGTTAATCCAAGTCAAGATAGTCATGTGGTTGTTTCTGATGGACTGAAACACTTAGTCTGAAAGATTACTGCACTCTAACTGCAAGGGGGCGAGCTCAGTTAGGAAGTCTACAATATGAGGAGTTTTTATAACGAGGGGCTACGTTGAGGGATTAAAATCAGGGTGTCGAATCCAGCAGTACAATAATGACTCTGCACTTAATTGGACGGCAATTAAGGACCCCCTCATTATATCGTCATGTACAATATGTGACCATATATACTAGGCTCTACTAGCACCTGCTAAAGGCATTCACAATTTGTCCCTTTTTTTTTTGTCGGGTCCATGGGGCTAATTACGCCTGTCATGAAAACATAATTCGTCAATTGCGCAAATAATGTGACTTGAAAACATAAAACTCTTCAGTTGCGCAAATAATGCGACTTGGCCCAATTAGCGCAACCGCAAATTCTCTAACTTAAAATGTATTCTAACTTCGTATGTGGGGTATAGCTAAGATAGTTGAGTTCTTTCATCTTCACTCATGTGGGCAGAGATTCAAAACTCTCTGGCATCCAATGAATATTTGTGTAAACCTCCTCTCCTAATTATTTTGACTTCAACTCTTGTAAGAAATAAAAATCTCAGTATCAAACTACGCGTTTAGTGACGATTTATAAAGAATTCCCAATTTGTTTTAGTAATTGCGTCCTGACATCCTTCACACCATTTATTTATTTATTTTGGTTCTGTTTTCTCACCTGACATAATCAATTCGAGATTTGAGATAGATAGAGCCATGGCGTTCATATACACACACATTTGGTTTGGTCATTTTACGCACCTAAACTGCGAGAGCGCAAATCCCTTCGTCAGGGGATTTGCAATTTACAAAAACAATGGAGAAGTTCATATACACCAGATGCGAAATTCACTGATAGCGGTCTGAAGTTCCTAAAGAAAGTTGGCATATGCAAAGCAAGTTCTAAGAAGCATTGTCTTGCTGAAAAATGAGAGTCACTGGATTTGCTTGATATCTGTAATCTTTACCCCAACAACATTGCTTTTCTATGGAAGCCAATTTCAAACAACCCTGTTATTCCTGATCAAACCACTATCAATCTGGAGACACGGTTCGAGCAAGTTTAGATGGAGTTCAAAACATGAGCGGTGTCACGGTTGAACAAGAGCTACATGACACTGCTGTGAACTAGACCTCAGAGGAATGGTTTTGCAGTAAAGAAGCACCACACTGGAAAAGGGTTTCCAAGCCTTTGATTAGGAACTTAATGACTAAATTTTGGTACCTTATTGATCAACCTAATATGGCTCCTCCTGATGTAACAACATCTCAGGCGCAAGAATTTGAAATAGCAAATAAAATCGCATGCACGTTGAAATTGACAAAAGCATTTGATAAAAAGGTTGCACGTATTAAAAATTACTATCAATCTGTATTATTACGCAGCCAAAGGGGAAGTAGTAGATTTATACAGCATCTTAAGAATACATGTATCACAAAATATGTAAATATGGGGTTCAAAGACAGAAGCAGAGAAGAAGCCGCATACACAAAGTGAAGATCATGCAGGCAGTGCAAAGCTGTGTTCTGTCCAGTGTGGAGGATCCGCAACAATACAAGGATCTGACTTCTCAAAATCACCAACCTATTAAACAAAACAAAACCCATGATGAATTTCTAACCAAAAATCAAAGTGATCAAAGTATACAGAGTAAGATAGGCTCTGAATCGAGAGAGTGGTTAGTTTACCTTCTCTTGGCAACTTGGGCAATGATGATATTTATGCCAGAGACAGTCGCATGAAGGCAAAAGAAAGCAGCATCCAAGAAACATAGGCATCATGCAAGCCACAACAGCTGCCAGGCTTGGCTTTGATCTGGGATTCAAACATCAAAGACCATCAATGATCAAAACCAATTTCAACCATCAACAATAACATGAACAAACACCAAAATCTCCTGCGCCAAAAGAAATCCCGGAATTTACCTGACGTGGGTAAGTCCGGAATTACCACAGTAAACGCAGTTGAAGGGAGCGGGAGTGTCTCTGTAAATGGTTTGATGGATAGGGATGCCCTTTGGGTCGCCATAGACGGCGTTTGGGGGGATCGCGCCTGCTTGGTAAGGATTCTGTACGACGTAGAACGGAACGCCCATCACCGGCTCGTCCACCTTCGACATCTCTCTCTGTTTTGTTTGTGAGCGGTGATCGATCAAATCTTGCGATCCTTGTGTTGTGAGAGGTCTGGTGAATCAAATCGAAAGAGAAATTGGCTGATTTCACAAGAGAAAAAGCAAGAAGGGGTCCTCGAGCACAGATGGGAAATTTTGTTCTATTTTTATAATGACTATAATGCCCCTTGGGCTCTATGGGATTATTGACTTTTATATCTTTCTTTCTAGAAACCACGAAAGTTCCAAGTTCTTACTTTGATTGAATCAATTTGGGTCGTCCGTCACCTCTTACCTTCCATCGAAGTTCCTCTCGCGTGCTATTTACTGCTACACGTATTAAATTTTTATATAATTTTTTGTTTTGTTTTGTTGTTGTTGTTGTTGGAAGGGCAGGCCCAAACCCAAAAAGCCTTGCTCCAATTTCAATTTTCAATGTTGGAGTTTTATCACTTGGGGTTCCAGTTTTTCAACCCCTTCAACCCCGGACTGGACTTTTATGAGAGTGGCCATGTGCAAACTCAATACAATCAAAAAGCTTTTTTTTTTTTTTTTCCTGAAAACAGAAAAACATTACAAATGAGATCCCCTTTGGGAAGGGGAAACTTAGTTCAATACATACTAAAGTAAAACATAATTACTACGTCCATAGGAAAATTATTAAACCAAATACAAGAGTTATTATACTCATGCCCATTCTTAACGAATTGATCACTAATCATATTAGCTTTCTTATTAGTAGCTAAAATTTGCAAGCAGTCGTCAAATATCTTCTACAATGGATCTTAATTTCCAAGGTGTATCAGTTTTTCTTGTGACAATTTGTATAAATGTCTTAGAGTCTCCCTCTATTTTCACCTGCAAAATTTTTCAATCTTGATGCCCAAATTAGCGCTTGCTTAAAAACAGAGGTTTCAGCTTGTAACACAGAAGAATACCCTCGATGCATTCAGATGAGGGAAATAAACTTGAGATTTTGACAAAAGTCAGAATTTTTAAATTGACATGACCTAATTCCCATGTTTGGATTTTTAAAAAAACATAGAAATTTAGAAATTCTGCATGGGAAAAAAACATGGAATTTGGAGGTCATAAATCCCAATTTTAAATTTCATCTAAAAGTCGTCTTTTTTAAAATTCCAAGAGAGATTGAGTTTTAAAAAAAGATAACTTTACAAATAAATGTTAAATTATAAATTTAAATTTGTTACCCAAACATAATCAAATATCGATGATTAATAATTTATTCTCCAAAACCGTAGCCCCCTTTCTCCCAAAAAAAAAAAAACAGTCCTAGAGCATTTTTCACTTTGAGGGGGGAGGAAGCCATTGTTCTTCCCCTCCCACCCTCTTCTCTTCATCCTTTCACCTCTTTCCCCATTTTCAGAAAAAAATGGTTTTCCCTATTTGTCTTAGTTTTGTTATGATTTTCACGTAACCATTACAGGCGGCTGTGTTCACCTGCATTTCGGAGTTGGATCTCCACCACCATCTTTTTTGCGGTTTTTTTTATGTTTGGAATAAGTTACAGAGACTCTTTGGGTTCTCTGTGTAGTTTTCACATCTCCTTTTGTGAAAGTTTTTCAGCTCTCCTTTGTGAGAGCTTTTCTTATCTCATTTGTGAAAGTTTTATTTGTATTGTTATGACTTAGTTTTTTTCAAGATTTATCTCTTTTTTATTATTATAAGTTTGCAATCTTAGTCGAGATGTCTATGTTAGAGTTTCTTCGATCCTACATGATCGTTAGTGGAGACATACCAGATTGTCTTAATTTTGATGTTAGAATGCTTCGTTATTGTAATGACCATTTTGTGACTAGTTCATATTGGCCCTTTGTGACTAATGACCTTTTTGGCTAAATTATGAATGCAATCATAAAATTTCTTAACAACAAGAAATTCATTACCCAAATAAAAAAGTTACAAATTCTAGAACATTGATTTCCATCATTTATGAATTCCTTTGTACTTTTAAATTTCCTCATCCAAACGCACTATAATGGACAAGATCCTACAATAATTGAATGACCTTGTTGTGCATAACCCCTTATTTTTCTTCTTCTTCTTTTTTTTAGCAAAGAAAAGGAGCAAAGGCATGGACATAAATAAACCTGTCTAGAATGTAGGATGCTAATGATCCAATTTCTGAAATTACGATAGCTGATTGTTAGATTACAGTATGGCATGAATTAAGAGATCTAACTGTTTGTAATTGTCAATTAACTTTAATTTCTTTATTTTGATTTTTCAAGAGTAGTAAACTATGATATATTTCCATCAAGTGATTGTTTTAAACCACTGCATGCATTGTACCCTATTGAAGGGACCAAACACAAAGAAAACTACAACAACAACCAAACACAGAGAAAATTTTGCAGGCAACAAGGACATGTGAAATGGGATGTCTTAACCAATCCCATCCCATCCACACCAGGAGTCCCACTACTTAACACTCATTGCCATATTGATATTGGTCATCCAATAAGCCTTCAAAAACCTCTGTTCATCCTTTTTTTTTTCAGGTACATTTATTTTTTACTTTCTTTCTTCTTGAGCAAATAAAACCAAATTCCCTTGGCATTAATGCAATTGCTCAAGTGCTGAAGTTAGGCGACCGACAGAAGTTAGCATCTTAAATATATCTTGACTTATCTTATTTTTCTGTACTAATTACCCTCATTCAAATTTCAACCCATTGCTCTCATCATACGATTATGATCCAACAACACAAATGTGAGATGGATGTAAAAAAAGCATATTAATTTATAGAGAAAAGAGCAATGTAGGTGCCGTGCAAGAAGCTTTATGGAGCTTCCCTTCCAATGAACACAATCGACAACATAAATAAACTGCGTGCGCACCCACCCAGCAGCAGGAGCGAGGGAGGGAGGGAGGAGCACGTCTTAGACCACTAGCGGATGTTCCCTTCCCTTGGCCCCCTCAACTCACATAACTCATCGCTACATGTGCAGGGAATGAATTGGAAATCTCGCTCAAACATACCAATATTTCATTCTTTTTATATATAATCTTCCTTCCATGTTGCTAATCTAGATTTCAACCCTAATGTGATGTTTCAGAGAGAGAGAGAGAGAGAGAGAGAGAGAGTGTGTGTGTGTGTCTTGTACATCTTGACTGATGCCATGAGTCCATGACCTGCCATAGCACTAAGTTAAAGCTGAACAAAGGCCCATGGGGTAATACATATATTTTGAATTGAACCCAAAAATAATAATAAAAATACAGGGTCACTACACTAATATTTGTGAAAGAACAGCAACAAACCAGCCATGTTTGACCATACGTACACATGCAGTATGGCAATATTGACTCACAGTACCGATAAGTGTCTGAAAATAATACTTTAATAACAATATTGCTTAGCTTCTTTCCAATTCTGAGCTTGGAGTTTGGTTTGTTAGGGTATACGATATTTTTTTCTTCTGTTTAATAGAAGGAAAGTGACATAGCTTTGGTCATGAAAAGTGGGACATCTTCTTCTTGCTCAGAGAAATTTGAAATTAAATTAGATAATTCATTAGCAAGAATTTGAAAAATAGGATTGCAATGAAATCCGTGAGATGGATTTCCGAATTTGCATACAAATACAAAAGCAGTGGAACATCCCAAGGACTCTCCCCGCTGGTCATCGCAGCAGAGGGAATATTAATGCAGAGAGAGAGAGAGAGAGAGAGAGAGAGAGAGAGTTTCTGAGTTGCTGAGTTGGTGTCAGGAGGAAGACTGGTAAAGTAGGAGAATAGATTCCACAAACAGGAAAAATCTGAGTGATATTGGGTCTCAAAGCTCCCACCAGAGCAAGCTCAGACCCTAGCTAGCTCCCTCCCAATATTCCCCACGGCCCCCAGCCATCACCCATCTCGTGAACTTCATCACAAAAAAACAACTAACACAAACCCCATTTTGCTTAATTTATATATTCTGCACCACTAATATTTCTACCTACCTTCCCATACATACATGATATATACATGCATGCATGCGTACATAAAGAAACAGGCAGCTCCCCCAATACATTCGCTCTGTCCTCTCATATCGTCCTTTTGTTTGCCTCCACTATTAATTTCGTAATAGTTTATCTACTCGAAATAAAATAATCAACTGTAAACATTCTCTCTTTCTTCAAAGAATTCAAACCTTATTTTTATTAAAATCCATCTTGGGCTCCAAAAGTCTAACTGTACTGTACACAAACGAGAGCTTTTAATGGCGAATGTTGATATTTGATTCTGAATTAGTTTATGTTTTAAAATCAACATGCTATCTATCTAGCTCGGGGTGGAGGGAACCAATATTATAATGGATCCTTTTCAAGCCACATTGGTTTAATCATTTAATGTAACATGCTAGCGTTACTAAACGGTAAATACCAAATATGCAATTGTGATACTAATAAGGTGTTAGTTGGATTAGCGTTTTTGGTGTATTTTTAAGTAGTCCTAGATTCAAGTCTTCATGGTACCCTTGTGTGTGAATTTCCATCCTTCCCTTTCTAACTTCAGCAAAAAATAAAAAATCTCGAGGCAAGTAGATATTTTTAAAACCTTATTATAAGTTATGAATGATGAAACATTCAACACACGTTTGACTTTGAGTTAAAAGAAAGTTTAGGTGTTAGGATTATAAATTAAACTGCGAGTTTATTAAAAAAAAAAAAAAAAAGGAGCACTTAATTGGTGCACGTTTAAAAGGATCAAGACTGAAAAGTGTGAATTTGATTTGGTGATTTAGAGGTAATTTGACTTTAAATTCTCAACTAATATTTGAGGTCCAATAATGATCGATATTTAACTTGTCCATGATTTCCATGATTAATTACCACATGGTACAAAGTGTGCCCATAGGTGATTACGTTGAAAAAAGGATCATAAACTTGATCCATCAAAAGATTTTTCCTTGTTAATTCATGAACAAGCTAGTGCTTAGTGATAATTAACATTGATGTGGTTTGACTTTAAATTCATAAAACTTCATGTCTAGCCAAACCGGCCAAATTGCTCTAGGACAGCTAGGATATATATCATTGGACTCTACATGGGTTTCAACTGCCAAATTTGATTCACGGCCTCATATGAAGACTATTGATATTTATGAATAAATAAAAATATTGCCACACCCACAATAATTTTTTTACAAATTTATAAATAAACCCAATCCTAGACATGTATTTATAAAAAAACTCAAACACTATTTAAACATAGAAACACACCCAAAATCAACCCCAAAGTCAACAATTGTATATTTTTTGGGTGTGTTTATAAATGGGTTTTGAGTGTGTGTAATGATGGG